AATCGTTATCTTTGTCTTCTAAGCATCGTAATTAACTTTAAGCATAGCTTTCTTACCATTTTGATTTATTTTTTATACCATCATTAAACAAAGCAGGAGTGCATTGTACTTCCTCTTGGGATCAAACATGGAAAGGTTAGATTGTAATCCTTTTTATTTTTAAAATAACTTTTAGAAAAGTGTAATCTATACAAAAAAAGTTGTATTTATTTAATACCACTTGATAGTTATATTAATAGAGATAAGAATTTAGCTTGATACTGTTTAGACTTTTAATCATTTTAAACTGTATTACAGCATCTTACACATTAAACATGAAAAAGTCTGTATATTTTATAAAAGCAAGATTACTCATCTGGACAGTATAAAGCAAGAATGCTTTATAGCGTTTGTAATCACTATTCTTGCAAGTACAAACACAACGTAAACTGGAATGCTACAGAACCCTAAACCGACAATACACACTAGCCGAATATACTGTAGCTGTGTCAGTCTTCTGTGATTTGAACATCATTGGGTGCTGTTTTTAAAAAGTTGTTGAGTAAAGAAAATGAATTTTCCTGCTGAATGAAAACAGGAAATAAAGAAAGGGTTTCAGAAATCAAACAAAGCTTTATTCCCATGTTTACAGTCTGGGTAATTGGAGACTGCGCTGTTCTGCTTCCTATGGTTCTTATCTCACAAAGCCGTATTGAGCAATATTTCTCGTGTTGTGAACGTGTGTACACAGCATTCCCCCAGTGTTTCCTGTTAGTGCGTAATTATGCATCGGTGAAAAACCTGTGGTTTACAAAAAGAGAATTATCTCACTGATAGTTTTATGTAGAGGCTTAAGTCGAGGTCTTTAAAATGCATTTTGTGATATTTAGAAATACCAACAAATTCAATATAGTGTCAATAATATTTATTATCAGTAATAATATCAGTAGCAGTTTGAAATAATTCATTGTTATTACTAAATGACTTAACTTCAAACATGTTGTGATATTTAGAAATATAAAAAATGTCAATAATGTAATGTCCATAATATTTGCTATTTTAGTTTTTCTAAAAATGTTAATTTGTTAAAAGAAAACTCATGGTGACTGCAGGGTTTGAACTGCAGACCTCAGACATATAAGGTAGATGCTTTAGCCATCATACCACAGACAGTCACATGGAAAGTAGTGAAACAGCCGTACACATATCAATAGAAAGTCTTATAGTACTAGTATAGTTTGTGCTACAGTATATGTATATAATTATACCGTTATTAATTTGTTTAGATATACGCCATTCCATATTATATTCCCTGTTAATCAAATTCTTAAAAGTATGCTTTTGTTTAATCCGATAATGAGCAAATTCACAGAAGAGGTTAAAAGACTATCACTTTTCACAAAGTATATAAACTTAATATGGTCAGAAGGAGCATGTAAAAACATTTCCAAAATAATCACATGTAAGACTTTGATGCTTAAAATGTTTAGGGAGAAAGCGGAATGCTGGTGTGTATTTTTTCTTTAAAATACCAATACCAGGCATATACAGTACATAATATATTTATGTTCTTAAATTAATATAATTTATGGCCATTAGATGCTTTATGCTCCTCTTCTTTTTATGCTCAGCTACTAAAATTGCCCTTTAGTTGTAAAATTCCATATAAAAAGTCAATACTAAGCGGATTAAAATGCGCACAGTAAAGAGATTAAATTATTAAATCTTTTCACTAACGACCAATGCACCACGAGTGCCCCTGTTGGTCATTTTGGCCAGTCAATCACGTACCGTGGTACGGGTTTGTACCGCACAGTTTGAATGGCTGCATCTGTATTAGTGGTGAACAGAACAGAGTGATGAAGCCAATTCATAGATGGGGATTATTAGGAGGCCATCATTGGTAAGGGCCCATGGAAAATTTGGCCAGGACACCAGAGTTACACTCCTACTCTTTTCAAAACACACCCTGGGATTTTTAATGACCACAGAGAGTCAGGACCTTAGTTTTATGCAGTGGTGGATTAAGGTGATCAGAGGCCCCTAGGCTACACGTTGTGTAGCTCCCCCCATCCCGATACCAGAAAGAAGCGAGATAAAATACTGTAATAATTCAGTGACATGTTCGGAGTAAGAGCCTGATACCGCCGATTCAAACGAAATGTAATGCAGCACATGCAAGGAACACACAGGTACACAGGAAGCCCAAATACACACAAACTACAAAAGGCTGTAATGTAAGTACAACAGTGCAACCAATAAATCAGATTAACAGCCAATCTGCGGGCTGACAACAGAAATCATATGCACGCTTGCTTTGAAACCGATGATACACAACAACAAGATCAGCACAGCAGAGGCCAGTGACCACCCTGTCTCAAATCAGTCAATACGCTGCATCGACAATTAGATATTTTTCTATTTAGGCTTTCAAGGGATCAAACTCGCTGATAACATTGAGGACACCCATGAAGTTCCCGTTGTCAGGGCGCCCGAACGTTTCGCTGTGTCCCCTAAAAGGCAACTGCAACCACCCTTTTCAAGACGTTAGTCCAATACTCATATTCATTGTCAAACTGTCTTTTTAGTTCTGAATCTATTAGACCATTATCAGCACAGCACATAATGTATGCAATCATAGCCTTTCTATGGCTCTCTAACACTCCGTGTTCAGCCAAGCGTGTGGCGGCATTTTTCAAGTCAGTATAGCCTACGGTTAGTCCGGACTGATTATCACTGTCCCCAAATAATTTACATGTGAACTGCGTCTTTCGAAGGGGAATACAGTAGCCATTCTCTTGACATACACTTGCCATTTCTGAGTTCTCTTTTGAAGAGGGTTTTAGAGAAATTCCTCTTTTGGTGTTTATGTTGTCTTTCCGATGCTGCAACATCCGCGTCTCAGTTTTGACACGATTTCGGGCCCAATCTAGCCTTCTGTTAAACTATTTTACCCCAGCATGCTGGGTCCGAGTTATAGGAAGCAGGTAGCTCCATGGCAGCAGGTGCAACAGCCATTGTGATGACTAATTGGGCTTGTGGAGATGGTGGCAGATGGTGGTAGTGTTTCGGATGGCTCTGCCTCTGACTTGTGTTCCTTTGATTCCGTTGCGAGAGCTTACTCATCCTCATGATCGGCGTTGATATAGTTTGCACCCAGGCTAGCTGCAGCTAACTTTTCAACCGCGGTTGCTGTAGCACTGGTTGTAATGTTAGCCGTAAACTCAGGACAGGGGTCCGGCTCGGCAAACTTGAAATAACCAGTCAATCTGGGGATGTTTTTAAGTAGATTCTGCTCACACTGCTCTTTTAACTGCCATGCTTTAAGTTTATGCGCCACACTATCATATTTTCTATTGCACATTTTCTTGAGATCACCCAATGAATCCGCCAAAATAAATTTGAACTGCAAACCCACTGAATCTAACCAATCATTAGTTCACAAATGATTCAACATTTTTATGGACTAATGGGGGCCCACAGGTCAATTTAAAATTAATCCAGGGCCCCTAGGCTACAGCCTATGCTAGCCTGTTCGTTAATCCACCCCTGATTTTACATCTCAGGAGGGTGCCTTCTTACAGTATAGTGTCCCCATCACTATACTGGGGCATTAAGACCCACATAGGCCAGAGGGTGAGCACCTTCTGCCGGTCCCACTAACACCTCTTCCAGCAGCAACCTTAGTTTTTCCCAGGAGGTCTCCCATCCAGGTACTGACCAGGTTCACACCTGCTTAGCTTCAGTGGGTTGCCAGTTGTGTATTGCAGGGTGACATGGCTGCTGGGAAAACAAATCAAGTTTTCTGTGCATACACACATAAAAAAAATCAAATATGTGTTTCTGTCCAATTTCATGGATACAGTACCTATGGAGTCTTACAGCCCCAAGAGTTATCAAACCTGTTATGCCAAAGGGCCCGTCCCCCAGTTTCTGACAGACCCAGGGTTGTTGTACCACTCTCACTGTAAGGTGCGTGTAAGCTACATTATAAGTCCTGTTATGGTATCTTATTACTTTATTTTAAACATTGATTTACCTTATGATTTATAAATCATAAAAGCTTATAAATATGAGATAATATATTAGATATATTAGAATATGTTATGTTAATATTTATATTTTAAGTTATATAAAATGAATATAATAAATGTTGTACCAAGGTAGAACTAGACATTTTTATCATATACTGTCTGAAATGACAGCTGCAGTGTATAGTGCAACATTTCTAACAGGTTCTACATTCCCCTTCCCCCTTCAATATGGCAATTAAAAAAAAACACAGCCTAAAATTTCACTTAAACTTTATAAAACTGTGAAAACATGTCAGGCCTCATGAGGATATTACTATTCCTTCTTTTAATCTAACAGTTTGAATCATCCAATTATTATTCATCTCAACTCAATCTTACAATCCCATTTTTAAAGACATTTTTCGCACTTCTACAAAGACGTGAATAATCAGGTCAACTGTTCCTTTTCACAATACAAGCCAGGAACAAACAGAAGAATTTAATTTCATGGATAAAACAAGCACATAAGAAATATCCCAGACCAACAGGTACTGTACCTCTTCAGTAAATGTTTTTTTAATACAAGATGAGAATAGCCCCCCTAAGTCAACAACGTCTCATCCAAACAGAAAAGCACCTGCCTTGAGAGTTCTAACACCAGCTGGCAAGTGGCAGGATATAAATTATTTCTGGAATACATATAGATTTCATAAGTTAATTTTATGCATTTTACATGCAGTACCTTGAATCTAAATTCTCCTCATTAATTGCTACCAAAAGCAACAATACTTAGCTGTGAAACCCTTAGTGAATTACCTTTGTGTCCTTTAAAGTGTTTTTACAATGGCTTTGAGTAAGAATACTGAAGCACAAAGATAATCACCAAGGACCCAAACCAAAACAAGTACTTGAAATACATGAAAAATGAAGGAAAAGAAAAAAACAGACTATTAGGAACTACCTATTAAGTGAAATTTTGTGCTCACATTTTTAAACAACACTACTTACCTTTATGGTGGCCTGCTGCTGACACCGATTTCCCCCAAAGGGATATCATGTAGATAATTAGAAGTAGTTTCCCTTTTGTTGCTTTCTGTGTATATCTATTACTCATCCTAGGAAAACAGATTAAAAAAGAAAACATATGTACCATTACTTTTAGTTTTAAAGGAAGAATCAATATAAACCATTTCAAGATCTGAAAATTGTATCTTGAATGAGAAGACTTCATAGTATACTGTTTTTCTCAATATGTTTACCTAAATAATAGACTAATACAGGCAGGCATCTCCCATAAGTAACCAGAAGTAAATTATATTCAAATTTAAGCAACATTAGTATTTTGTAAATTGATCACTTCCAAAGCAATTACTTCCAGTGTAAAATTTGTTTCACTTTTACTAATGTCAAACGCCAACCGATTTTCTGAGATTTTCTTGGGACAAAATAGTAATTTCATGTGCTTTAACTATACCTCTTTAATTATTGTCTTATGCTAGATTTACACTCTTAAACTTTTACACATACTTTCAGACTAGAAAATAAAGCAAATTTAGATCTGGATCAAGATTGTTGGAAAACATATCCTGTTCTACTTTTGAATTCTGACAAACATGTATTCAAATATTTGTAAGAATGCATAGCTTTGAATATCTTTTCAAATCATTTTTAATACACATTATTTGATGTTTTGTCTTTAGTTAAGCATGATGATATTTAATGTAATGTCAAGATTTTTTTAATTATCACAAGATGTCCTACAGAGCTGATGCACAGTTGTTCAGAGGTCAGCCAAATAAGAATCTGTATTTTTGATCCCGAACTGCTCCTTGCTGGAATATTGCAATATATTAATCTCAGCTTCATGGGGCTGGACATGCTGCTTGAGTCCAGACGTAACTCGCAGGCTGTCTAGGGACATAGCTGGGGGGAATTATATCAGATCCTTATCAGTATTCTGCAGGATGTTGCTGTGAAATGGAAAATATCTGGTCATATTCCCTAAGGGGAGCCCTGGGCTACTTAACACTCTGCCCAGTAGGTTTGAACCACTTTTATAATAGATTGTGTGGGTAACAATGAAAGGTTTAAAGATATAGTCATTAAAGACTCCTGCTATTGCAATATGTTTTCATATTAATCATTGTTTAAATTGTCTTTAAGAAAAAAATAATCTAAAAGTTGGCACAATAAAATCCCAAAACATTCTTTGCAATCTATCATTTCACTTTTGAATAATCCAGTGTCTTTTGATTAAAAATATCATCTTAGTATTATTGGAAGTCAAACAGGTAGGCCTTTTAAACATACCACTTGTGTAACAAAAAATATACATTGTACAGTATGTAATATTTTATGTTGTTATGGCGTGAAGAATTACATTATTCCAGTAATGATTTTATGTTGACAGATAAACCAACAGACTTCAGATTGTGTTTTCTACTGGAAGAAACTCTAGTGGGAAGCAGAGCATACAGAGAAATTTCCTAGAGATCACAGGGAGAACATGCAAAATCCATAAAGAAAGCAAAGTACTGTAGTTCCAAATGAAATCCAAGAGTTGAGAGGCAGCACCAATAAACACTAAACCAGTGTCACCCTATATTGTGCTGGCAGGTCAACTGGGCTTTGAATTGGAGTGTTTAACTTTTCTTGCTTCACTATACTGAATTTCAGGACACATGTGAAGGCAAAACTACTAATCTCAATAAGATCACACCCGAAGAAAGCTCCACTGCCAAAACGTTGTGTTTTCTTTCTTATGTTTTTAGCATGGAATAAACCTTTTGCTTGTTCCAAAACTTCTAATCTGTAGGCGGGAATAAATGTAAAGGAAATTAAACATTTCTGTGCCATCAAGAACTTCCCCTTTAATAATGCCATATTAAGACATTAAGGAAAAACTTGAGAGTCCCATATAAAAATGTTCTCCCACACTGAAGACTGGTTATCATAATATAATAATAATAATCTAAGCCTGGAATCAGTCTATGTGGAGGGAGTGTTAACAAATAAGTTTCCCTAACCTGAAACATATTTCCCACTGCCTATTTCAAAGTTCAGAGGGTGACTGTACTCAGTCTAAAGTTGCACTAAACTCTAAAGGAACACAGCATATACTGTACGAAACTGAGAATTGATCTAATGTTCAAAATGCTGCGTCTTATCAGTTGGATTAGTTGCACCTGTCAAAGTTAATATACTTAAAATGCATTCTGCACCATTTATTGTCATTACCAATGTAATGCTTTTTTAAACAAATAAGTTGCACCTCTCTCCCCTGCCTCTGTATTTATCCTATGCTAAATGGCTGTAAAATGTTTACCCTTCATTATGGCTTAATGAGCCTATGAATGAAAAATCAAATGTGACCATATTTTTATTATTCTTTAATATTTTCTTAATTATAAATAGATTTCAGTGTTAATACAGAATGCAGCACATTCAGTCATTTAAAGTAAATTGCATGGCTTCTCAGTGTATCTAGTAACAGTCTCTTGCACTATTTTAATAATATGCACCGTGCACACTGTATGCAATTTTATTGTTTTTCATTTCTGTACTGTATAAAGTAATCCAGGTGTAAAATTTATAAAGTTTGTCAAATGAAAATTGCTATAACATTTTCATATTGCATTTTTTCTTACTTTTACACTGTATTTTATGTAATGCATTTATGCATTTAATGTGTGAAAATGGCTGACTTGCAGCCAACATGTATGTTAAGACATTACGTTTTGTGATAATACAGTTTACGTGTACAATACAAATGTACAGTAATTCTTCACATTAAACCGAATTAATATACAGTATGACATAACTTGACAGTACTATTTATAATTCTTACATTATGAAACATATGGTTAATATCCAGTACAGTGCCAAAGTGCAGTATATAGAACTTAAATGTGAAGGGAGAAAATTGTTGGGAACCAAGTAGACAACTTCATATGGACCATCGCTTTCAACAATCATAGACCGATATGTCCAAAAATAGACCAGAGTATTTTTTTAAACAAATTAGATTTGGACCACAAATCTAACCAAATTCCATTATGTCAGGGTCCTTATAATGAAGTTTTACTGTAATCAGATAGCCTTTCATCATACTGTACATGTTTACCTTAGCCCACCTGCAGCTAGGCAAACACCTCAAAAACCTGAAGATTGGTTGCATTGATCTCATAGATAAGAATCACAAAGAATGCCCGTATGGCATACTGTATGCTACCAAGGTCAGTAAAATTAGCATGCTGTACTAATGTGGATTTTTAGTATAGTTAACTAGTAATCATGATTAACAGGGAAATGTACCCTGGGCTATCCTGGGCTTAATAAATAATGTATAAACAGTATATTCCTACAGTAGCTTTCTAATGTGTGAACCTTAGTTAAATAGCACACTTGTGTAAGTACAATGGATTCCCTAGTACAAAATATTATCAGGATTAAAACACAATATACACATATTTTGAAGGTCCAAGCCTAATCCCATTAATATAGAAAAAAATGTCTTTAAAATATGGACTGGGAAAAATGTCAGACATTTTTACTACAGTATGTGGGGTAATTTTAAAGACAATATTAAAAGAAGGGGAGTTATGTATACAGGAAAATGTAGTCAAAGGGAAAAGATAGAAGACAGGAAGTAAAGGAAAATAGACAAAGCAAAAGAGTTTAACGGTGAGGCAGGAGTTTCATATAATGGAACACTAAGACAAACTAGATAACTAGGAAAATTAATGGTGACGTACCATTTATATGTATAACATGACTTGGAAAAATAATCTCTGATTAGTTTGAAACATCACATGACCATAGAGTTCAGATGTCATACAGATGCAGCCATTCAAAACAAGCGGGCGATACTGCATTATTTTGCGGTGCGCTTTACGCAGTCTACCGCGAGTTACCGTAAATTCTCGTATAGTACCTCAAGTAAAATAATAGTATCTGGAATTTCCGCAAGGTGGAGCTAATAAAGCAGAACTTCTCATGTTTGAGCTGTCAATCAAAGTCTTTAACGAAGATTTTACTAATAGTATTAATAATGAATGACCTTGGACAAGCTGTAAACTCAAAGTATTGCCCTGGTTCACATTCTTTTTTCATTGACCGTCTTTGTAAAAGTAACACCACAGCATTTCGCAATCACGCATTTGTTTCCAATCATGCAAAGTACAGTAATTTTTGAGAATCGATTCACCATGCCTTTCACATGCTCATAAAAGAGATTGATTTAGGAACATAAACATATTACTCTATGCAAACTGTACTGTATACAGTATGTATATGTATATTTAATGTCTTCACTGTGCCCGTTTAAGTATTGAATATTTATATGGAATTTTACCACTGAAGGGAAATCTAAGTAGCTGAGCATAAAAAGAATAGGAGCATACTGTAACGCGTGTGAAGGCCATAAACGATATTAATTTTGGAACATAAACATACAGTATAAGGCTGGTCTCGGTACTTTAAAGAAAAAATACACACCAGTATTCCATTTCTCCCTAAACATTTTAAGCATCAAAGTCTTTAACTAACGTGAGTCAACAAGCATACTTTTAGAATTTGCTTAAAAGGGAATATAATATGGAATCACGTATCTAGAAATTAATAAAGAAATTAATAACAATATAATTATATTCATGTACCACAACACAAGCCAGAATCCAGCTGGAGCCATTACTTTTTTTAACAAACATTTCTTTGAAAAAATAAAACGTTTCCCTGGGTCAGAGATTAAATAAAACTTCACTCGCACCAAACAAATTTATATTTCTAAATATCACAACATGATAGAATTTAAGTCATTTTAATTACAATGAACAGTCACTTATGCGTTACAATATAAACAACCTCATTCCTTTGGTGCTTTCCTCCCACCCCAACACACTTCCTATCCCCAGGACTATTAACGACAACTTTTCCATCCTACAGGATGATCCCTCCATTGGGGCCCTCTTTTCTGACCGCCCCATCATCTCATATCGCAGACCACTTAATCTGCATAACCTTCTTGTTCACAACTCCCTTGACTGCCCTCAGCAACCATCCACACCAGGAACTTTCCCTTGCAACAGAGCTCGCTGTATCACCTGCAAGTACATAT